CGTGACCTCAAAACTTATCCCAAATTTTTATGTATTTTAGGCTAGAAAGATAAAATTTAAACAAAAGATGACGTTCTATAGGTAGTCCACCCGGGCCTTAAAGAAATAATTATCTCATAATCTATTGGTTTACCCAGAAACAAACCCTAAGATATAAATGATCAACTAAAATCAAATAGTAGAATACGCTAATGAACATTATAGTAAGATTCCCTATAGAATTGAGTAATCAAGAATTATAAAGCTTGTCCTCAATTTAGCGTAGAGTGAAAAATCGAAAAAAAAAAAACATCAGCTGCAAGAATCTTTGAAATGTAATATAGCAAATATAGTTTTTCAGGTTAGCAGCAAATTATAGAGGAATATCGCTGCTAGATATAGGCTATAAGGTACTGACAGGAATAATGGCCAGGAGGCTAGGGAAATGGCTAGATGAGGAAGGAAAGCTGACGGAAGCACAGGCAGGATTCAGGAGAAAGAGAGGCACAATGGAGCAGGTATTTGTTTTCAACACAATGATAGGAAAAAAGCTGAGGAAGAAAAAAGGAAAACTGTATGTGGGGTTCATCGATTTTAAGGCTGCATTTGATAAGGTAGACAGAGAAAAGCTGTGGGAAAAAATGAGGAGGATAGGAATCGAGGGAAAATTTTTAAGGATAGTAAGGCGAATATACGGAGAAACTAAGAACAGGGTAATTACAGGGAAAGGAACGACGGGAGAGTTCATGACAGGAAAAGGAGTTAGACAAGGCTGCCCGCTTAGCCCATTACTCTTCAACATTTTCATTCAGGACTTGGTAGAGGATTTAGAGAAAAAGAAGGAAGGCGGAATGGCGATTGATGCGAGGGTGGGGGGAAAGGTCTATACGCTATTATACGCGGACGACGCGGCCTTGATATTTAATGGAATAAAATGGATAAAGAGAGACGGCCAAGGAGATGTATGCGAGAAGAACTAAGGGGAATCAAGAACGGTGAGGCAACAAGGTGGGGACAAGAGATGGTAAAGAAACTAAGTGAATTAGGGGATGGACAGTTCCTGGAAATGCTGTGGAACGAGAAAAACGAGGAAGCAATAGAGAGGATAGAGGAAATGACACAGATCTTGGGAGATCAAGAGGCACAAAAGGACTGGGAAAGAATTGAAAGATCAAGATACTGTAGCTACTATAAGGAAATAAAGGACAATGCAACGATTGAAGGGTACTAGCAGGACGGGAAACTAGGACTAGAACAGAAAATGATATGGGCAAGGTGGAGATGCGGGAACGCACTAAGAGGCGACAGAACAGGGATTATAGAAGACACATGCAGAGCATCCAAGAAAGAGAAGGAAGCGCTGGAACATGTGATAAATTGCGGGGTACTAATGGGGAGGCTAGAAGAGGAGGAAGAGAGCTGGTGGAAACAGTGGAGGCAACAGAGCAGCGACGGAGCATGGAGAGAGAGAATCGTGGAAATGCTGAGGGGACAGACGGATAGAAAGGTATGTGGAAGGTTAGGAAAGATAGAGAAAAAACTGAGGGAAATGGAGGAGGAAAGGAGGAAGGACTAAAAGAGAGACTGAAATAGATATAAGAAAGACGAAAGGAGAGGGACTAGGAAGCAAGGAAAGGAGCGGAACAACTGTGATAAACAGAAGGATACAAGGAAGGGATGAATATATAGTAAATGATAAGGACATAAAATGCTATGAAAATGTTATTAAGTATATTAAATTTATATATGGTTGATCTTATACTAACGAAAAGAAAGAGGAAAGGGGAGAATATCGATGTAGAACAAAGGAGAACATTTGTAACATCAATGAAATAAACAAATAAAAAAAAAAAAATAATAAAAATAATAATAATAATAGTTTTTCAGGTTGAAGAATATCCCTCGATATTTAGCAAAGTAGTAGCAAATAATGAAAAGCTGGAGTGAAAAGCTATGTTTTGAAGGAATTTGCGTACCGAAAAATATTTGTTCAGGTACGTGGCATTGTCCAAAAATAGTACTTAATGGTGTGGGCTTTGTCACGGCAAAAAAAGCTCCCCTCATTTTAGCGTTATTTGTAGCAACAAATCCTTCAGTATAAAAAATTCTAGGGTCCAGTTTATCCTGTGTACCATGAATTGTCTTTCCTAGTGCTCTCTCCACCAAAGTTTGTAGAAAATCCTCTGGTAGATCATAATGTAGCGTCAATTCTGCAATATTTATGGTGCCATTTTGATTTAATTTATCACTAATCTCCGCTACGATCTGAATCATATAATTTTTGTCTATAATTTGACGACCCAAAATGACTTTGACATTCTTGTCGTGTTTTTCCATTTCAATAGCAGTTTTCGTGATATAAAATAATGCAACATTCAATTTTTTGGTCAATTCTACGTGGGTTATCCTTCCTCCATGCAAATACAATTCATCACGAATTTGTGTTTCTAAATATTGTGGTGTAATATATTCCTTTCCATCGGCGGTAAAAATCACATCTAATAAATTCAATTGAATCAATTTTGTTATCAATTCAACACAGTTCCGTTCCGATAATCTGCAAGAGAAAGGGAGATTTTTAATTAATGTTGTTATTGGATTATTGAGTTTAATGTTTATATTTCTCATTGACCGTTACAAGAATAAATCAACAGTCACCCGAGAGTATACATAAATATAAACAATGATTTCCGAGAAAGAGATGAACCGAGGATTCTTTAATTAGGTGACGATTATTATTTAGGTCTTTGTGACTAGTTGTAGTCTCTTGAAGAGATCCATAGAGCAGAGCCCGGCAACCTGGGATCATTTAGCTCGGGCGGCTTTCTTCGCTTCGTTAGTACAAAGTCGGAAAGGGCCTTAGCCACGTAAGGGGGCTGATTCAATTTTTCTCCCTCCTTGCACCTTGGCACAGCCGATCCCGGCAAAGAGCGACCGTGTGATAGAAAAATAATTAAAAACTTTCCATCCATTTGAAATATAAATATCGATTTTTCATTCAAAATAGCCAGCAAAGGGAAAACAGTTTTTAAATATTTTCGTAATAAGCTATCCCCCTTAACAGTTATTTTATTTCCAGCCGATATTCGCAGCAGTTCAATAAATGAAATACAACAATGGTCCAAAATTCTAAGGTGGAGCGATAACTTTATCCAATAATTTAATGCACATAATTCATGGATGAATAGTCGTTGTTAAGAAAAGATGAATATAATTTTATTCATTTTCTCAATAATAATTATATTCACGCCTCAAAGAAACGTTCTAAGTCCAATTTCAATATAACATAAATAAAGCAAGCGCTCCACTCGGCGGGAGCGAAAAAACAAGATTCTATTGACCTCCAGGTACTTAGCCGACATGGGTCACTAATTAGAAAAACGACCTTATGTACTCGATTGTACATCGTTAGTACATGATTGTACCTATAAAATTCTTGTTTGTACATCAACTGATTAATTAAAAAAAATTAATTAAATTTCGGCATGATCTTAGCCGACAACAAATTGAAAATTAAT